AGCATGTCAAATATCATTGAAGTGGGAAGCGATCTGGGGAGATTGATTCGAATCGATCACTACTTCGATTAGAAGATCGCCGGCACAGAGCACTGCTTGAGTGGACGAGAATTCTCGCGATCCGAAGATATCACAAAATTCGATAAGTAAAATCGATTTCTGATTTTTATTGACTCGGTCGCTGCCTCTGCGGCGCCTCCCCGATGTTCTGAGAATGCTGAACCACTCTTTTTCTCATCGTTCGATCGTGCAATGAGGACCAAAGTCCCGGGTATCTCTGGATTCTCGCGTGTGCATACACCGTGAATTCATGAGGGGAGATTCATCTCTCATTCGGACGACGGCGCGGCATGGGCGATGTTCAACTCTAAGGAAGGTCGTGGATGTGCCACCAGACCAGAGTTGTCATCAATTGGTTCAGACAAGCCGACGTACAGACAAATGGTTGCGGTACAGAGTGGCCGACGGCTTTATGGTGTGTCCTATGACTCCTCGCGCGACTCTTAGGCTAAGTCCATGAGTGTTTCGTCCGTCGATTCGTTTGATCGTTGGTTTGTTGGCTGTTACGATGTCGTTTGGCCGTTCGGCTAGCTGGTTGTCGGGCTCACTCGTCGAGTTCGAAGATGAAGAGGAAAAACCACGCTCGTTCGATGCCGTCGCCTTTACCGCTCTCGTCAGCTCAGAGTATCTTCTCCATGAACGCCCCGAGGCGTCGCGGAACAGACAAATTCGCGATGTAACTATTGACTCACGCTCGGAGCCTCCTCATTTTTCGTGCCCAGATCGAGCCGGCTCCGGAAACGACCCGGGCTCTTTTTTGTCTCCCGGGCTTTTTTCCGCGAGGGCAGTGTTTTCCTTGCCCGTCATAGGCTTTGAGAGCGATCCATATTCCGAGAAGGTACTCCACGGTCATTTCTCGGATGATAATATTTCCGGAGGTATCGTTATCCGCTCAGAGATGGGTCAATTCCCGACCCGACGCTTATTTAGATCCCTCGAATATCACGGCGAACCGACGGCGAGGCTGCGCCAACCCAGAAACAACGACAACAGCGGCAGCCCAGAATTCACGAAAACAGCGGCAGTAACAACAATAGCAACAGCGGCAGCGGAGATCAAAGGCGATATAAACCCGCAATCGAACCCACCCAAAAGACAAAGTAATCGGGCACCCACTCTCTCATCCCGAGTGGCATTCCGTTACGTCCACGAACTCAATTTGTTTCCGCGATGAGTGCTCCAGGAGTTCACATCGCCAGCCATCTATCGCTTCGCCGACTTGTCGCTTTTGCGCAAAAACGTCGAGAGCGGAAAACTACTATTTGAAGGCGTCCCATGCCATCTGAAGACTCAATTCGGAATCGTGAACGCGTGGGCGGACTCGGCTTGAAGTTCGGCTCGGCTTGAGGAACACCCATACAGATCATTACCGAGGGGAGACCTCGCACAGGTGACGGGGAGCTTCCGGAGTTCTCGGCTTCGAATGGATCTCGATTTTTTTCGTAGATCTTAACATTCGACCAGCGGTGTATCCAATCAGTTCTAATGACCGAACAGATAATCTCTATTCAATTTTTCCCTTTGGCGGGATACTTGTCGGGGAGCATTTTTCACCGGAATATCGTATTCGGAGCCCTCCATCCGATCGAGACGGATGCTCTTGCACCGAGGAATAGAACTTATCCTTCAGAAAAATCGAGCTCTCTTTCTTGGGTGAATCAAGGGAAATTCCGGAGTCTTCAGCTGGGAAGTTCCTTAGAAGGACCGCGAGATCCGGAAAATCGTAAGACATTGTTCTACTGGGCTTGAATTTTCTCTTTGCTCCTCATCAGAATGCGATATTCCCATCGAATATGTCTTCGATTGCTGCATTCCGTCCCTTTCTATTGAATCTGAAAACTTCCTCGGCCCTTCCATCCGTGGGCAAGATCGTGATTCGGTAGACCGCTGTTTTTAATTGGCACGCATCTCAGCACATGATTTCAGGGTAGTCGTTGATCGCATGGAGGAGATTCATCTTCTGAAATTACTTGGGTATCCGCATGCTATTGAAACTTCATCGATCATCCTTATTTGGTGACCAAAACCCCTTATTTGAGAATTCTGATATGTTTCCATGGAGAATTCCGTGAGAAACATGTTGAGAATAAATGTCTAACACGCATAGGTGAAATGACGGCTGAATAGGGGTTGAAGAATTCCGCTTTTGTCAGAACCCGTGCTATTGATTGATTGGAGCGGTCGATCGTAAAAATGGTAACAAATCCTAAAACTCCACCTACCGAAGCGTTGTGCACCCGTATACCACTGAGAAATATGAGCATATCGTACGTTTGCCAATCCAGGTGGTGCTCGCCGTCGTTGTCGACGTCGGCTTCTTCGCCACTGGCTTCCGCCGTTGTAGCTATGCCTTCGAGCCTCGTCATCGCTACGGCTAAGTGGCCTAATTTATGACGTTGCTCCAACTGTCGGCGCTGAGCGGACGTCATTTATGGCTTTTTTCTTTCGTTGAGTGACGAGTGACGACGAGCATCCTCTCATTGTATCACGAATTCCAGTCCAGGCCAAAGCTGAGCTCGCCGGCCGTTGCGATGGGGAATGTCTCCTTCGAATTTGACAGTTCTATCGCGGAGTCTCTCCTTGAAGACCCCTGCCGTCCGCAAATCCTCTGGATCAGCCCCCTTGACGGGAATACCGCATCTCCACAAACAATTTCTCTGCCCGCGATGCGCATGATACACATGAAGGATCGAAATTTATAAGGAGATTTAGAGATTAAGATAGATCCCCGTAAACCGTGGGTCTTGGATGGTCCCAGCGTCCGGCCGCGGCAGGCTTCTCGCGGGAGAGCAAAAATAGCTATATAAGCTCAGTGTGAAAAAAAACATGCCCTCCAGACCCACGGTAGTTATTAATCATATGTATCGAGTACCTGGCTCTTCTTACTTTAGACTACAATTTCAACATACTGGGCTCTTGTGATCCTCCGAGGGACCATCGTGGACTTCATCCTCGGTACGCTTATTTTAGACTGCAGTAGCTGTTCGCGGAATCATCCGACGTGGGCTCTGATCAGCGAACCATTGCTTAATGAAAATCTTTTTCATTCTCAAATCTCTTTAGCTTCAGCCTGACGGACCGGTGCGGTATTGTGTGAACTACTCTTTCGAAGAAGGTATTCCTTTGATTCCGATAAGCCGTCACCGCTCGATCTGATTGCCAGTCAGGCCGCCCGTGCGCTACACCGCTAGGCATCTAAAGTCGTGTTGACAGAGAGGCACACTGAGGACTCGTTACTATTTTTCGAAGAATGCCGCGTGCTTTCCTCACGAGGGGGATCGGGTGGCCGAGAAAGTTCATTCGGTAACCGCTATCATCACTCATCGGCACGGCTCCGGAAAAATTATCGATTGATTTGCCATCTCTGATGATTGGAGATGACTAAGTCACGCTTCTCTTCATTGGACCATCTTTCAGGTGGTCGATTGAAGACGAACGCTTGAACGCGAGCTGCTGATGATCCAGGTTATGAATGAATGAAAAGATTCGACAGATATCCCGGACTTCCTTCAGATGTCGGCGAGTGATCTTCTCCTAAGCATAATGGGCAAGTTTCGACTGATTGCCGTTGAAAATTAGGTGGATCGACCGATATTTCATTGCGTAATTCCGAGCCTTATCGTAACGGAGAACCAGTGATTGCTCTCCACGGAGAGGTATCGCGGTAGAGAAACTTCCGAAATGGAAAGGGTTGAGTCTGGGAAAGGCGGCTCTTGCATTGTGGCGGATCAGAGGTTTGAGGGACACAGTCGGACAGTCACAGGGACTAGTTTATCAAAGTTTGTTCCAACGCTTCCTTTGAGTGAGTAGACCTCGATGATCATCTCGAGCCTTGATGGTCTTCGGAAATGCCGTCTCAAGTCAGTTGACGTCTGATTCCGGTGCTTCACCGGAAAAATGAGACCATCCCCTTTTTCCTGAGACTCGTGCGCGTTCAGATATCATAGCCCAGGAGGAGCTTCTCGATGAACAGCTCTAATTCCGGAGCTGATATAATAAAACGTGCACTCATCTCTCCGGCGTAAGTCTGTACCGCTAGTCTCGAATGCGACCGTTCCCAAGCGGATTGGTCCAACACCGAGACTCGATCCAATCGTCTGATTTCAAGTCTGATTTAGCGGTGCTCAATGTCAGGGTGGCGGTAACGGAGCTCGATGCCGTACTCGACCACCGTGAGCAACAGAGTCCGATGGATGACTATATTCATGTAATTCATGCCGGATCGAAAAAAGAGGGGATCCGGCTCATGCTTGAAACCGAGCTGAAATTAAATGATACTACCGTACACCTCGCTTCGTGATTCTCGATCGATCGTAACGTTCCGCATCCGGTCTTTACGGCCTTCGGAATGCAAGCAAATTCTCCGATACGAACACCGAGAAGTGTCGATCCCCAACTGGTCGATTGTTTTTGTATCTGTGGCGCCCTGGTATTCGGCTTGTTTGGTCCCGCGAACTACAACAAATCTACTTTGCGGTCTGGCTCGTCTAACTGCTGCTATTACCACACCAACCCTTGTCGCGTTTCGTATCGTGGTCGGGGAAGTACGAAAAGAACACAATGGTGGATCGTGGAGCCGCAAGGCTGAGCGACACCGATCGTGTGTTACTCCCAACCAATCTGGATCATTTAGCACCGAGAGAGCCGAAAATAAGATTGACGGCTGACTGACTACCTTGTATTGAGCTCGAGCATTCAATTCACTCAGCCCGTTAATCATGATCTCTATCGGACCGAGATTCGACGCTGAACTCCTCTGACTGCTGGTCAGGGGAGCCTCTGGTTGAGCAAGCGCCGCTACGGCATCTTTAGTGAGTTCGACGGCGACAAGAAGCCTCTCCTAATTCTCGCCGCCTTCGAGTCCATCATCTACATCACGCAGAACAAGCAATGTATCATACGCGCAGGCTGAGACACACAGGGGAAGTTTGCCATGGCTGTGTCTGTTGTTGAACGCTGTTCCGATTCTTAGGTCCGGAACCAATTGATACTCGCAATGATTCTTTTGATGAATCGATACGCTGACCTCGTCTCGTTCTTCTCGCAGGTACGCTGGATTAGGGTCAGGGCGACTCACGCCCCGATCAATGCCGGCATGAGGCTGCTACTCGGTGTCTGCGTGACACTGTTCTGCAGTGTAGTCGCTGATTTTCCAGCGGAAAACTCAATTTCTAGCACTACCGCGAACTTCTTGAGATGCGAGCAGGGGAAGAAGCAGATCACCATCGAAGATCTCTGCAACGATAGAAAGGATTGCGCGGATAATTGGGATGAAGCTCTCTGCGACTGCACTGATAGGGTACGCCCATGCTCCATTGGCAAGTGCCGCAAAGATCCCCACATCGGATCTTCAACATGTCAGAAATGCGATCATGGATACGAACACGACGGGGAGCAATGTCGTGACATCAACGAATGTGAGACTTCAGCGCCATGCGAAGGACGCGAATCATGCGTCAACTTCCACGGTGGCCATACGTGCATCTCTTGCCCAAAGGGTTTCGAGGCGAAAATGCACAATGAAAGATATTACGGTTTCGTCAGCAAGCCGTCGAATTTCTTCCTACGAAAGCTATTCCTCTGCGACGACATGAATGACTGCGCTATCCAGGATCATTGCGCAAACAGAGGCTACTGCGTCAACAAGGTCGGGGGTTTCTCATGCGTCTGTCCACCTCATCACGAGCCTAAAGGGGGCGTTTGTAGGGCCGTCAGCAGCGAAGCACCGAGGATCGTCATCGCGGAGAAGACTTCACTGTTCATCCACGATTTGCGCTCGTCGAAGCTCATCGAAACCGTCAAGTGAGTCGATGCAGATTTTCTATCGGACCGCGTCGGCCATTGTTGGTCTTCCGGCACACGAGGAACGAAACTCATCCAGTAGTTTCCGAGTATCGTGAGCCAGACAGGCCCCATGCGGAATTATTGCCCTCTCCGGACGCTTAAAATTTTTTCTTTTGCCGTTCTAGGGTCAAGCACGCCATCGTCGATATCATCGCATACAAGAACTCGGTTTTCTACGCGTTCGCAAGAGAGATTTGGGAATACACATTCGATACAAAGTCGCATTCGCTCGTGGTAGAGTTCGAGGAAGAAGACCTGACACTGATGTCGATTCGGAAATTGGCGCTCGACTGGGATCTCAAACGACTCTATTTCCTCACTGGGAACTCGATTCACTTCGTCAACATGTTCGGACAGGGAGGTCCCGTACTTCACCATAAAGATACCATCACCAGTATAGCAGTGGACGCCGTGGCCCGCTATTTATTCTACAGCGAGCGGAATTTGGTGCACCGAATCCATCTCGATGGTTTTCCGGACTCAAAAAAAACAATTTTCGCTGCTCTCCCAGAAGTCGAGCACGAGAACACGCCCACAGGTCAAGCTTTGGTTGCGGATCCGAATCTCCAGAGACTCTATTTTATCAATGATAGAGTTCTCTACAGTTTTGACTACGAAGGCGAACTCGCCCGAGTTGTCTCGACGCTCGCCCCATACGCTCGCATAGAGCCATTCGAGGATCGTATCTATGGAGTGTATCGTGCCAGTGCCGTTAATCCAGTGAGCCTTCCTCGGATCGGATACTCTATCGGAAAGAGAGTTCGAAACGCCACGACACTCAACTTCAACAACGTCGAGAAGGCGGCAGCTCTGACCGTCGTGAGCGTTGCCAAGTTCCCCGAGAGCGTCGGATTGGGTCAGCCATGCAAGCGGAAAGATGCATGTTCTTCGGATTGGTGCTTCCATCTACCGATGCCCTTCGAGCGAAGATGTGCATGTACTCCCGGCGCCACCGAAAATTGCACAAAAATCGCAATCCGTAGCTTCCGACCCGAGAACTCGGTCGCTGCCGAGATCAACCACGCGGGCCTGCTACCGGCACCCATGGAGCTTCTTGCTGTACAGCTATTATTGGTACTCGTCTCCACGATTGGGCGCAGTGTTTGATTCGGCTCGGATTGTCATAATCACCGCTCGTTCCTGTACATAATATGTATATAAAAATCACCAGTCCTGAGATTTTAAGAATGACATGAATAAACAACTTGTTACAAAGCGAAGCATTAGAGCTCGCTTGCCGAATCAGGGCTCATGGCTTGCGCAGTACGCCACAACGTGAGTCACCTGGCTCAGATAAGACGAACTCTGATTGACAAGGTACCCGAGAAACAGAATCTGATCCCAGTAATTATGGTCTAGGTCTAGGTCAGGGGTGCCAGACTCAAATTTTTCGCGGGCCACATTCGAGCGCTGCAGCTGCCCGCGGGCCACCATACTAATTTTCTTTCGTATAAAAGGAGTTCATACGCCTATCGGCCTATCGTCCATAGAAGAATGCTTTTCCAGCTTCCGGGGAACGAGGGGAAACTCGTTCCATCCATCGTACGGAGGGATTCATTCCACCGATCCCATTCAATTTCCAAGCACTCATTCGAAATGGGCGGCTTCGAGTATGTAAGGAAATAGTGGCGGGCCAAAAAAAAAACTCGCGGGCCACGGATTTGACACGCCAGGTCTAGGTCGTTCTTCCGAAACGCGTCCTCGGCGTTCCGAGGATGTTCGCCCTCCCTTCAAATATTCCTAGGATCACAGGGGACGTCTCGTGGTCTGTGCTCCCGGTCAGAAATAATTGCACCGTTCCCGCGCTGCTCTCATGTGAGTCCGCAACGTTTCCTGTCGTGAAGAGCGAATCCGAAAGATATTCTTTTCGAACAAGCGTTCCAAGCTCGTTCCGTGGCTACTTACTGCTTGGAAAAGGAATTGTGCCAGGTGGACTGACTCTGCTAAGTTACTCGGGGTGGCAGCGTATCGTGCCCCTTTGATGTCGGCGGCTAACTTTTCAGCGGAGCGCACCAATATCCTCTCTATCCTCTTCACGATTGTCGCTAGGTCAGAAGAGCTCAAGCTCAAGGCAGTCGATTGGACAAAACGAGCTCGACCATTTTAATAGAGTCGAGAAACGATTCAGACATCCGGGGAAGAAGACTCTCAGGGAGTGAATGAATCATGCAGCGGGTACCTATTGTGAGCCATCCGAGCTCCCGCTTTGAATGCGCGGGCGTCGCGGCTCGGAGAATCCTCGTCCGATAGTGGCCCACCATGGCTGTCCCGCTGTACGTGAAACATATTGCATCGCTCCGTGTCGAACTGTTCCCTATTTATCACAGCGAAAATCCAATTGAGCATTGAAGAGGTGGACTTTTCAGGGCAGAACTTAGAAGAGGTTAACAGGAGGACCACGGGTGCTGAGCTGATCGCAAAAATCATCAGAAATTATCTATTTGATCGCCTCGGTCATTCCCCTTCCGGGAACGAGAGCGTCCCCGTCCATCGCGAAACCTTACCTGAGAATTTCAGATGGGGGAAGAAAAATGTACAACATTTAGTGTTACTTGTACTGCCTTTATTATCGACACTCAATCTTATTGCATATCACTCTGATGGTAGGTGGTAGAAATATACAATACTAAGGAGGATAAGAAGGGAATATATTGCAAAATGAAAATATCTATATATTTATATATATGTAGAATATGTACAAGGTAGGAATACCGGGATCTTTCTTTTTACACAATGATGTAGGTAGAATATATAAACACACTTTTTGACTGTTTCCGCTAGATTATTCACTCTGACAAATTCGTTGATTTTCACCAGTAATGATCCATCAGCTATACAGCAATGCGTTTTGGTATTCCGCTCCTAATACCATTTCCCGGAACAGTAGGAAGTATTATGATCCTCTCCCTTGCGTGATGTTATGATGAATCGACACAGGCTTAGGAATTCTCATGATAACAAATTCAACCCGTGTCTAGCGGCTAGCGGCACGTTTGAAAAGATCTGAATCATTCGGTCACTTCAGTGATCCGGCCTATCAAATAAACTTCATTTCAGATATCTTCCTCCGACCACGATTCGGTATTCGAGAACACGATACACAAGGAATATCTCCGTTGTTGCCGATCTCCCATGCCGATCAGGCTCGGGAAAACTCGCCGCACGAAAGTAAAAAATCCCATACTATCTACTAATCCCGTATAGACTATACTTTGTACGAACGCTCCTCATTGATGTCCGGATGGGAGGATGGATGCCGGTGGATTTCCCCGAAAATGAGGCTTCTCTAGACTCAACTCTTGTGCTCTGATTCCGTCCGTCATGAGACGAAGAAATACGATCCAGATCGAGGTTCGGTCGAATAATCAGAGACTCAATGATTTGCACCACACCTCCACATCGTAGTGAGCGAAAGATTCGAATTCTGTTAAAATAAAATCTGCACGATTATCTAAAGACAATCAACGGGTTTCTTGAAGCAGGACGAGCTTGAGGATTGCTCCCGATATTCTGAACCATATTTCGGACAGTCTAACGACATCGATGATGTTTTCGCGAGGAACTAGGAAGCCCTCTCTTCCGAAGGGAGGGACTGGGTCTCGGGCAGAATCATTGAAATTCACTCAACATGTGATACGCTTCATCCGCTCTCTACATTCATCCTCGAGAGCACGAGTACGTTCATAAATGCAAGGGATGAGCTTCTTCCTTCCAGAAATGCTCCTGTCTGTTTTCTTAGTTAGCCACGAGGCCTGACCTTTTCCTCGGCCCATGGTTTTGCACTTGAAATAGTATTGCTTGATGTGTATTGGGAGAGAGTATATGAATCCATTAAGTCGGATACGAGAACGAATGAAGTTATAGAAAACAAGCGTCTTCGTACACTCAAGTCGTCCAAAGATCTGGTTCCGCAGCGAATATCCTATCCGATTCCTGACCATATTAAAATTAAATCTGATGCATTGAGTCGGTAGGTACTTAGTAATTAGTAACCAATCGATGAATCAATCAATCAAGCACAGAATGCCGTGATTTCCCAAGGGAAGCTGTTTGGAAAAGCATCGCTGCCAGGGGAAGGCAGTCGAGGTACAGCTCACCATGGATCGGGGATTGAGAGAATCCCGAAAGATCTGATAGGAATCGGAGCGAAAATCAGAAAGGCAGTCTTGGGGATCACTCGACAATTCATGAGTTAACTAAGGACTGAGGGAACTCGAGAGCCGAGGGCCATATTCCGCGAGTCTCAAGAAAATGAGGCTCAAAATGTGTAATATGAGGAAACTTGAAATCAGATCTTCACCGGGCTGTGGGTATCAGCAGATCGATACGTAAGATATTGCTGATGTGGCATGCGCGAGGCCTCGCATCTCTCGCCCAAGAATCTTGTCGCAATATACAACTCGATCTCCTGTGCTTCACACTGATATATAATGTCAACTTAGTCTCGGATCAATGAGATTCCGATATCCTCAGGGTTTTTGTTTGACAAAATTCTCTCAAGCAAGGAAGCTGCCGATTCCACGGGAGCGAAAAGGGCGCTACCCGAGGTACTCGGCTCCGCAACTAGAATGTAACATACTTGAAATGCACTTCGTTGTTTTAGGAGTTCTTAAGCTTTCGACTCACCAACGCTGATGGCAATAAAGGGTGGCTCGGGTATTTTACTAGTAAAGCACTGTAACTAGTGATCGACTGCTTTTCGAGATAACCACCCATCTGAACTCGATAATGTGCTGTTGCTCTAAAGTCTGCGTTGCTTGACATGGTTGGAGCGAGTTTTCGAGTATGTCGACGCTAGCATAAACGCTCTCCTCATTACAACTTCGATTCGGCGTAGAATTTTAAGGCAATCTGAGTATTTTCTATTGAGTATGTGTCACCCTTGTTAAAGTGGTCAGGTCCCGTTAGCATCGTGACAACAACATTCTAGGGATGATTCTAGAAGTGCAGGCAACACAAATGTTGGCTCGTTGTCGGCTGCTTCGGATTCTATCCGTATCGTATACTTATTGAGTATTGTCTGAATGGCTATAAAAATTTTGCGAGTGCATAGTTGAGCATATTCGCCTATTGGAAGCCTACAATCAACTCCAAAACTCAGTGCTGGAAGCTGCTCAGAGGCCATGGAGTTGAATTCTGGGCAGCTAACGGTACGTTGGATCCCCACGGCGAAAGAGTCGGCGACGGGGGGAGTATTTGAGACGGTTGCGCAAGACCTTGATGAGCCGGCTGTTGATACAGGGACCTCGCTGCATAGTAATCATACTGACCCGAGTGCGCGGGCGCGGGAGTACCCGGCCACGGAGCCCCGCTCCATTGCGGCGGCGACTGCAGCATGAATTGGGAACTGGGATTCCATTGCGGTGGTTTAGAGTTGGGAAAACCGCTCGGCACTTGCGGAGAATTGGACCACTGAGAGGGCCAAGTCGGCGGAGGAATCGACGGTGCCGTGACGGCGTACGACGGATACCCTGCTTCGAAATAACGTTCTGGAAATCAAAAGCGATTCATGTCACAACGGAATATGCCTTGCATGTACTTAGAGTATTATTGCGATTGCAATAGAATAATATATCGTGAAGATTCCCGAGGCGAACGCAGAAGATGATAAGAGTTGATTCGAGACCAACGGAAGGATCGCGTGACTCACCAACTGAGTTCTCAGGGGTGGTGAATTGCGTGCCCCCAGGAACACTCGGGCAATTACGTCGACTGTCCTCGACGCTTTGGGCTTTTCTGGATTTTCTCTTTTCAGGAGACGGAGATCCATCGGAAGAGACACCGTCAACCGTTCGACGACGTTTCGCGGGAGACCTATTATTTTTAGCTGGTTCCGGGAAGAAAAGAAAAATGGGTCCATCTTTATACGGAAACGATTTTCATATCTCCCTTCCATCTCCTTGGTGTTTTTCCAGAATACTCGGAAGGAATTTCGTACAGCAACGAACCTTGTATGATACGTTCGGATTCTTTCGCGGCTTCTTGCAGACGGTCGTCAGAAACTGTCCAACCTGTCAGCCTGCAAATTTGAGATCGTCAGTAAAGTGATTACACGGCGGAGATCTCGAGCCTTCTTGGATTCTCTTCGAATATTCGGAATCGTAGAGTCTCGGGATGACTACACGCATCGGTCTCCAGTACTCACTTCAGAAGTCCTTCTTGATCAAATTTGTGCAAGGCCAGCTTGTCCCATCCCTGATTCGCTTCTGGGCTCGCCGGGCTGGGATGCGGTATATCGAAAACTCTCACGGCCCCAGCCTGAGAGTTGTGTGAAGTCAACCACTCAGAAGCTGCTGCGGCACGAGCACTAGGACATAGGAAAAGGTTGAGAATCTCGCGGCTCATTCGTCGATTCGGGGACATTCATGAAGCTGATAGAGCGCATCGCCCCATGTCCTCACGACCGTCGACCAAAAGCAGAGATTTGCAACTCACTAAGCGAATTTCCCGACGCCGACGATCATCTCTGGCTGTAAAAGTTCTACAACTTTCCGCAGCGCCTCGTCGCAGGCTTCAAGGAGTCGCTTCTTAGCTTCGCCTCGCAGCTGATCCGGTGTGATATTCCTTGCGCTATCCTCCATGAAACTCAAGGGACAGAAATTGTACACGATGCAACACTCATAGAAAAGTTCGCTTTTCCCCCCGCAGAGATCCTGCAAGAAAAGGTCCGTTAGCGCTCAATATACAGAGTTGCCCTTGATTCGAACATTTCTGCCGAAGTGGTGAGCTCGCTTCGAAGAGGGACTCACTTTTATTAGTGACCAGAAGCGCTTGCCCGACATTTCACGTTGTTTGCACTTGAACCCCTCGACCGGTCGTTTCGGATGCTCGCGGTAAGGTTTTCTTATTATGCCGCGAACCTCCAGCCAGTCCCTGACGAAGTCCGTGTCTCCGAATGGCACCTGTGGATGTCCCGACGGTCGGAATGGGTTCGAATTCCGGGAATCACTAAATACGTAGTGGCTATCGATTGCTTTTTGAACAATACATATATGCCCAACTCACGCCGTTTTGTGCCATTCCGTAGGGTCCGGGATTGATACCAATGAACAATATTTTGATCCCCGTTCGTGGCTTGATGCTGCCACTGGGAGAAGGACCTTCTGGATTCGCTCCATTTTCCTCGGGGAGATTCCCAACACCGGCGCGGCACACCCCTAGGGCGGCTCTCACGAAATCTCGATGAGTCTCCGCTGCGTAGTCCAGCGGATTGTAGATGTATTTCACTCTGTCATCGTAGGCAATTTCCATCAATTGGTTGCCCAAATTCACTTCGATTTCGAAAAGTTTTTCTGCCAAGTCGTTAGCTGCACGTTGCTGTTCATCGAGAGCGTCCATTCTCTGCTGGCATGTGAATTTGCTTTGAGCTGTTGGAAGAAAGACTGAGATCAGCTCTGAGAGGACAACATCCAAGCTGAGGTTACGCCGGGTTCGCCTTAACGACATTGGGAACTGGGTCTTCTTTCCCAATGTCGGCTCTGTCGGTCCGTCGGTTCCAGCCTCTGCATCGTCTGATATCTCAATTAGTGCAGTGTTCTTGGCCTGATGAAGTCGATGACCGGAGCTTCGACCGACTCAAAATTGAGCTCGTGAGGCATATGGAGTCATCACAGGGATTCACCAGACAGTTTGGTTGCAGGAATCGGTGGCGGTCGCAAGCCCCAGAAAAGGGAGCTCAGCTTCAAAAACGAGACCCTGATGAGATCTTCAAATCGCGACCGCTCTCAGCTTATCGATTCTCTCGTTCGATCAACATCGCCGCACCTTCCGCAAAACTATCATGAGCTCGACAGAGGGGATCCTCAACCTCTACAGGGAAATCGAATTCCTTCATGACGGTTTTGCGAGTGCATCAGCAGTCGAGAACCTTAACGTCGAATTTTGAGGGACGACGTCTTAGCATCTCGCGCCAGGCAGTTTGAGTGAACTCTCGATTTTGGTGAATTATTGTACGATCTCTACAAGGGGCACGCGCAATTCGATCAGAAGGAGCACTCAAAGAACAAGGATCTAAAACGCCCTCTGGATTTTTAGACGGGGATTCCGGAGGCTCGCTCAGACGGCCCTCGCCGCTGAATGTTCGGAGTTCAATCAGGAAGAAATCAGACAATCACTAAAAATGCCGCACATCGCAATTCATCGATAGCGGATGCGACAATCAAGACTTGCATTCGCAAGCGAGAGAAATTCCCGTACAACGCTGGCTTGAACATTACTCGGATCTAGCGCCGAGAGGATTCCCTAAGCTCGACAGAGATCTTCACTTCCAGCGCAGCGATGGATGAGCTTCCAACTCATCAAAAAACTTCGACTGACAGTCGACAGGAAAGGAAGGTGATTATCTGATGGAAGTCGAAAATCGCCGAACGAAGTCCCCCCGAGACGATTCAATGACCATGTGTATCCGGAACGCAGGTATCCGAGTTCCCGACTTCCCTGAAGCGAGGGCGTTTACATTCAATTCCGAGTGTGGACGTCGCGCGGGTTCACCGAGGTTCCAGCCCGGGAACCATTCGGTACACTTCGAACCTCGGAGTATTCGCAACAGCGACCAGGAATCATCAGAACGAGCGTGAGGCAGCAAGCCTGGGATCGTTTCCCCAGAAATTCGGAGAGAATAGAAACATGACTCGCCGACGCATTCCCAACGTTTACAGCTTCAGCATAGGCTGGACGAGCTTGCGCATCTCGAATGCTAAGTGTCCGGCCTTGTTTACCCACAACTTGAATGAGAGCATCCTCAAATTCCTGAGTTCACCGCCTCGATGAGCTTGAGCCTCAGACCTGCGTTAGCGGCTCCGGAGAATACACCCATGCGTCTTGGAGAGACTGCTCTAGCGCTCAATCCGAACACTAGCTCCACGTACCTCTATTTGAACTCAAATTCGCACTCTCAGTGGTGCACTCCTCTCACTCAGGCACTCAGCGTATGTTGTGGTGCTCAGTAGCAGCCGTAGGGATGAGGAGGAGATGAAGAATGATGTTCTCTTTAAATGATTTTGACTGCTCGACGCGCATTCGCTCGAGAGAAAATGGCTCACTCCGACTCCGAAAACTGGATATTGGACAAAAAATTCCTACGACGCTTGGACAGAAGGGGAAGCGCCCGGGATAATTTTATCGCCTGAATAGCATCACAACGGTTCGGACGACATAATCATAAAACATTTACTCCAGAGCGAGTTGAAGCTCCCGCCGAACGCGGCGCTCACGCGGGTAGCGCTATTTCGAAGTGGATGTCAACTCTGGCTCGGCATCGGATGGGCGCCTCCGCATCTTTTGGGAACTGTGCCACGTCCAACTCGGTGTTATCACGTGGCCACTACTACGATGCTGCCTGCCTCCCCCGGTCGCGCATTGTGAACAGATGGGGGCTGGGTCGATTTATCTGAAAAAACATGGCGGCTCACTGAATCGATTCGTCGAGGAAAAGCCCGCAGCGAGGAGGTCACTGCGAGGTCGGGCTGAACCCTCTGGAGGAGGTAGAACCTCTGGGGTTCCAGTCGCTATCACCGTGGCACCATTTCAAGCGCCGAATTGGGATCAGAGCTTTGACAGAGCGGACGCTCGGATGTATTTGGAGTACCCATCAGCTGAGAGTATCGAATCGAAACTCCCGGGGCTCTCCGTGAACTTTCTGTGAAGTTTTGTCCGAGGAACTGATACCGATCGGAGAGTGTAGATCGGACGGTCCCGTCGACGATTTTGTGCCTTTCCGCCGAGCGACAAAGTCCGATCTGCGGGGCGGAGAGGCAGGGGGGCTGTCTCGAGTCAGGACCGAGGGGGACACGAAGGATGAAGTTATCGCCCTCACGAATCTTTGCTGTAGCTCTGAACCTGATACTCCAATCGAGCCGGTTTCCGATGTGAGAGGGGCCCGAGGAGCGTCGACATGTCGCGGTCCCTTCTTTTTGGAGTTCACCGGAGTAGCCATGAGCTGATCATTATTCTCACCCGCCTCCCCAATCAGATCTGTGGGAGCACATGTTCGTAGATAAGATGAGTTCGTCCATTCCTCATTCCGATCAACTCTTTCCGAGTTCAGGATCTGGGTCGCCATCGGTAAGGCGATCATGTAAGGCGAACGCCTGGACCAGGACACGGCGCTGGCGGTGCGATCATCAATATGAACTTGGATTTACAAGAGCGTTGAGCGAGCGTATTGCTCGCGCCCATGGGTTGAAAGACTCGCGAGAAGCCAGCGATTCTGCGAGAGTCTTCCTCGTATCCTGACCATATCTGCAAGTATTGGGAGTGATGTCGGCTACAGCTCCCTCAGCGACGGAGATCGTGACGGCCCTTCGCGCTCGCGACGGGCTCGATCATGGAATAATCGGTGAAGACCCCTCGATCCGCAGCGAAGCGGTACTTTCGGGGGCGGGGGAAGAGCTAGGCTCCGTCAAGACAGAACCCGCTAGACCCAGCTCTTTGAGAACGCGCGGGGGGCGTCATGCCGTGGGTTCGGTTCCTGCTGCCGGCCAAAATTCAGATCCGCGGCCTCGATCCACCCGGAAACATTTGCTTCCGGGATAGTTCCTCGGGAGCAATACCTAATAGGTGCTACCCGGGACGTTGAGGTTCGGCTGTGTGGTCCAGCCAGGGGAATCATTCTCTCTCAGCTCCCCGGGAATCCGCGGTCTCTGTGATGAATGGCAAGAGTAGGTATACGAGTTCCGCGTTCCTTCATCAGTCGTAAGCAATCAGTGGTCTGTATGACCTCGGAGAGTAGGAAGGAGTTTCACCTCCATCACATCCATCATATCCATCTATGTGAGTATTTTCTTGTGCGAGCTCCAGCAGCTTGCTTTCCGTTCCTGCCTGTGAACAAGAATGAAGATGGAAATGGAGATCGAGTCAAGCCATCAGCGAACTCAAACGAACCTTTCTTCGATGGTAATTGGTAGAGCTCCGAAGTTAAGGCATGATGCCTTAAATGCCGATATCCGCCTTTTTCGGCTTTTTTTGATCCAAAATGCCTGTTTCATTTTTTTCGTGCCTAGAGTGCTTTTTTGAGCGTCTAAGAGGCCGAATCCCGAGGATTTTTGGGGAAACTGAGGCTCTACTATTGAGAACGGCGATGAGATGAGGTCGGCGAACCTAGTTTCATCTTGCTTTCGACAACTTACGATGGTCCGCCTGAACGCGCAAAAAATTTTCGTCGTTGTGAAATGCTCGTATCAGATCGGCGTGAAATTACTCACCGACGGGAATCAAAGTTACCACATGAATTTCTTACAATACGACACTGATAGACGCTTCGATGTGTTTGTTTCCCTGCCTATAACGCCTATTCTGCCTTGTTTCGGTGCCATTTTCGAGGGTTTCCAGTGCCTTTCTGCCTGCCTTCTCTGAGATTTTTCAGTGCCTAAACCTCCAAACTCTAGTAATGGGGAATCACCATCGCCGATTCTATGGAGGAAAAGGGTTTAGATCTAGGCGCGAGCGATGGTTTACAGGAGAAGCTATTCCGAAGTCCGACAAGCTCGTGATAGGGCTCCGGTGCGGCGATTTCGTGGGAACCCGAAGGATGTAGAATAATGGCGGAACCCAAAGGGTATGGACGGCTGTTCAAGATGAACCGATGAGTTATTTCGGCTGGCGCGGCGTCAAATATTTGTGGTGGGAAAAACTAAAACTCAGCTCATAGAAACGGATACGGAGGACTGGAGTTCAGAAGACGGGAGACAAGCGTGATGATAAACGAACCATGCAAGGAAACAATGAACCTCTTCCTACTGGTCGGAAAGTATCGGAGACCAGCTCTTGGAGAATGAGTGAGGCACGTCGAACACATTATCAGAGATCAAAGACTACGTGGAACTCCATCGGGAGCTTGTGGCCTGCGGCTGCTTGCCTCCAGGTATGTAGCACTTGAAGAAGACTCCCTCACAGGCACTGAGTCGCCCTGAGGTCGTGAGGAGCGAAGATTGCATGGGCTCAAATCCTCGGAAGCAACGTAGCCGGGACGTTTAACGTGTTCAGTGGTCCAGCCCGAGGAAACCTTCGGGATCTTCGCGTTTGGATCTGCATTGACTCTCACCCCGAGAGTTCCGAAAATCGGCCTCGGCGGCGGGACAACGGGACCGAAGGGAGTCATCCGATCCCGGCCTCCCTATGCTCCAATCACTCAGGAGCAGGAAACTTGAGCCTCACTGACGTATGCAAGGGATAGTGCGAGCGAGCGCTAATCATTCTCCGTCAGGAGAACGTAGTAGGTAGCATTCGTTGACGAGCAAATCTGTTTGACCCGATTTCTGTCTCGGAACGAAGCGGCCTTGAATTCTACGCAGGCCGCAGAGTTTCTCTGGAACACTAGGATCGAGAATGCACTCAGTCGCGAAAACTGCTCCTGCGGCTGGATCAGTTCGCGGAAGGAAACAGTTGATGCCCGTCGCTCGTCCGGGTAGGGAGTGGATAGGCAGCAAATCATGGCTGATCGTATGGTTCGGGGAAGAGCTCGAGGTTCTAAGATGTGTCCGGGGTAGACATACCAACATTATCAAATCGTCTTTGAATAATCGCTCATCGCTTTCGACGACATCTCTCTTCCAACTGGGGACCTTTTAATGAACCGGATCCCTCCCAGGGATTGTAGAAAGTCGGGGTTGCTGCTCAGCTGATCTGGGCTTGGAACCTTCGCTCAGCTGCGTCGTGAAACATGAACGAATTAAAAGAACAGCAATCAGTTAGCTGATGAGTGGGTTAAGAATTTCAGCGGGTGTGCGCGCCCGAATGTCTTCGGCGTCACTCGCGTATCTGACTGTCGTGGGCAGAGCACCAGAAAACGGAATTCTTCTCCAGAGCACAATCGAATCCAAAAACTTTTGTCGGCGGGGATCAGTGGGTCCCATTTCAGCAAAACCGCATATTCCATGAAAAACCGCGGTTATTGACAGCGGTTATTCGCTAACCCCCCATAGAGTCCCATGTTGAAGAAAGACCGCAATCGCGATCAATAACCGCGGTTGCAGAGCCTGCTCAGAACGCGGAGACGGATCGGGAGGAGAGGAGATACTCCGCGTCTTCGGAGATCGGACTGATTGTTCATTTTGTTCACTTCCTTGATAGCCAATGTTTTGGAACGATGGCTCATAAGATCGATGGTCTCGGAGACACGAGACGAAAGGCTGAGTTTCGTCTTTGCCAATGTTTCACGAGATCATCAAGGAGAATTTCGCTGACGTACGGCATTCGTGAGCCATCAATATTCTGGATCAGTGCGAGGAGCCTTGCGCCGAGCTCCAGACAGTAGCATGTCCTCCTCCTACGTGGGTTCATTACGTCGGCCAGTCTCGAGCCGGGACGCCCTCGAGGCTGACCGAATTCTGGGGGAGTTCTTAAGGGAGAATCATCAGGATTCTTTGCGAAGAGCGGATTGCGTAACGATGCTCCATCTTCCAGCGCTTGTGTCAAAACGAGTGTGGGGGCTCGCAGGCGACCAAAATAGACATCTCTTACTCCAGACGGAATATGTGAGGATTCAATCGCTTTTGGGCGTTTCCTTTTTTCTGTCGTCCGGATTTCATCGACGGAAAACTCCGCTCCGCTCGAAGTTCGGACGGAGATCCGTTCAGGAGAACGATCTCGTGCCGCTCCTCCAATCCACGGCTCCCAACGGCGCAGCGCCGCGCCGGCCTTTCTGTTCCGATCGTATACGACTAAAATGTTCTTAGTGATGATCCCGTGCGAGATGATTGTTGGCATTCCTGTTCGGCTACCACGACGACCCGATCGATATTTTCATCACTGCTCCGAGGAGGGAACTCCCGGCCCGGTTATGAAGAGCGAAGCGACTAGATCGAGGCCGCCTTGCCGACAGAATATTAAGCATATTCCACACTACGGTCATACACCACAATGAACGGTGTATGACTGATGATGACGTTATCGTCACGATTCGGATGTTCTAACAGATGCCTCAAACCCTCTCCAGCACCGAAAAACAGGGAGATTTGCTACCTTTGCTTCGGGCTCCTTTTCGGAGAAAAAGTAGCCATGGCGTCGGTCGTTGAGGACCTAGCGAGCAAGAGTCAACTACGTATCGAGGCGGAGTCGAGAAAACCGGGCAATTCCCGGAACGCGGACTTAGCAGCTACACCCTCCAAATTGTGGAAAACTCTCCCGGCCATTTCGTTCATTTGAGTGGGAACCAAGATTCTCTCATCTTATGCATCCGTGATTCTCTCCTCTTGTGAGTCGCTGTCTGTCCTGATCTCAAGTGAGCTCTTCCGACGCGCCGGATTGAATCATGATATGCTGTCATTTCTTCTTGACGTTTACCCTTTTCCCTTGTGACAGATCAGACTTTGGGGAAACCCAGAGATTCTCCGGGTCATCGCGATACGTCAAGAATGGTGGGGAATCTCACATCTCTGGTTTCCGCCGAAGATAGGCGGAGAGGACGGCTTCCTCCGAGGGCGAGCGCCTTGGATGAGCCGTGGAAAAAAAAATGCTCGTCCACCGCGATCGGGAGCGTGCCAGACAACGATCACAAACAGGGAAACAATGGAATCTGATCGTCCGTGTACCGATGTCCGAATAGCTTCCGTATGCCTCCAGTCACATCTGCGAGCATCCGGCGCGAAGGCGGTCCGACGACGGTATGCTTTTTTGCCCGCCACAGCTTATCAAATGTTCCTGATCCTGTTGCTAGTGTGGCAGACGTATCTTCCCGAAAGGCTTCGCTGGGAATCAACGTTCAGAACTCCCACTCCACTTGGCAGAAGATCGACACTTTCGTCCCACTTTCACTGGAAGTCTCGGAAGACAGTGCGGCGATTCCGAGAATAAGCTCCCGGCGTCTCGTATCCGAATTCGCTCGAGACTCCAAACTGTCTCGAGCAGCGTCCCGGCGCCACCTAGAAATGGGAGTCGAATGTTCTGCTGACAGGTTACTAGGTGTTCTCCTCGAGCTTTCATTCCCAGTGTATAAACGGAGCTCTGGTCGAGCGGAAGGCAACTCCGGCGACATCCGACTTCACACACACGTCACTGTTTCCAAGGTTCAATCGGCTTCCGACAACTACAAAGGGCGCGAAAGCGTCGTGGAAGTCGCAGTACTGCTCGGACGGTGAACCTTTGCAGAGATCGCAGGATGAGGTGGTTTCTAGTTTGCGTGCTCGCGCTCTCGGTGCACTCGACTCTCGGGATCGACTACACACACGACCAGATTCAGTACCAGAGCCTAGGAACAAAAAACGGCGCCTATAATTTCGGTTACGACACCGGAGTTTTCGGAGCTCATTCATTCCATCAGCAATGGAGAGATGAAGAGGGTGAGGTGCGCGGAAGATACGGATACACAGATCCCAATGGCGACCTGAGGATTACTCACTACAAAGCTGGCAGGGATGGATACAAAATTTTAATGGTGAGTCTAATCATCGGAGAGAACGTGGCCAAGTGTTCGTGAATCGATAAGGTCGGCATTCCCGATCTAGTATGATGGTCCGGGAAAGTATGCCGCTCCATCGCAACCCATGCGGAAGCGTTTTCGTTTCCGTCCTCGGGACGGAAACAGTTTCTGTTTCCTGGAAACGCTCGGAAAAGTCGTGGTGCTGGAAGGGTCGATAAAATTACGATAGCCGGATCCTTAGAGCGCCTGGGTCCCTCTACTTTTCCACGTCCTCTACGCTGGGAAACTACTCCCCTTGACGAGATCGGCAGCAGGACACGAATAATCTCCAATTGGCCTAGGAACAATAGGAGTCCGCGGGTATTCCCGGGAAAAGTCATAGCATCTAAGAATTATTCGCACATCTGGATCGATCCTCGAGCATCAGTATCGAATGGGGAACACGATTCGTAAAATGCACCGATTTCACGCGTCGACCGGGCGGGGTGTCATTTGTTGTGCACAGACTCAGCCGCCATCATGACTCTCACATTCAGCCTGTCGAATGGGCTCGTTTTCCACCCCGAGCAACACCCGCGAAAGTTCGATCGAGTGTGATTCAGCGACTAGAAAATTCGAAGATGGAGGAGACGAACGCCGCGATGCTGTCTAAGCTTTCCTGTGTGAGCTCAGATCCAGGCCAGACGATCCTTGGGAAATACGTTCACGAGATCTCTCGCGCAGGGAAATCGCTCGCCTCATATAAGTAAATGGAGTTGAGATGCACCAGCAACAGGACGCGTAGCCAACAATCTCGCTGAGACCAGCCGTGTCTGACATCGTCCAATTTTCAGGACAAGGTGGAGCCCGGAAATCCCGTCCGAGCTGGCCCTCGTCCGCCCCCAGGCTCTGGTGATGCTCTTGTCGTCCCAGGAGCAGGAGTGGTTTCCAAAGGATTACCGGCTGATGTTGCTGCAGAGCCAATCAGCAATTACAGGAACGCGCTCGTGGCCTATCCCAATGGTGAGTTCCTGCGATTTGCCTATCCATAGCATCATGCCCTCCCGTCGACCCCAGCAATCTCTTGCGGGTACGATTTGAGCGACGAATCCAGAGTGGGTCGACGACGTTCTGGGATCGGCATAGAGGCTCCTGGCCGAAATTTCCTCCTGGTCTTTTCGAATCGCAGGTCCCCGTGAAGATTACGTGGTTGGGAAGACTCGATATTTCGTCCCATATAGACAGGCCGGACAAGTGGGCCGACCTGCCGATGTTCGCCAGCCATATCCGCAGGCTCTCTCGAAGTTTGACAGGTGAGCCGCGGGAGACTCGCGAAGTCTCTTGTCTTGGAGGTTCCGAAGTTAGCTCCCAGAGTGAAATGACCCGATGTTTCGCAGGTATTACCGACGACCAAGTGAACCGGTGAAGCGCGTGTATTACAAGGATGGCCGGCCCTTGTCGTACAATCCGTTCGAAGTTTACGCACAGAGAGCGACCTTTGGCTACAACCCCTTCGCCTAACGGATGCGGATTGTCTGAGGGAGCGTGGCCGACTCGATCGATCCGAGGAGGCACGAATGTAAATAAATCGAAGGAAGAGAAGCGTTCCCCGCCGGGACGAGTTTCAGAAACTTCTCGAGTTCCAGAGCCGTGGTTCTCCTATTTATATATTTATTGAGCGCCAACCGTATCGAATAAACAACGGTCAAGTGAGACCGGGGAGGAACTCAGTATGTTGCTTTTCTCTCTGCTATAGTGTGTCATTGTGATAAGTTCATCCGAGTGGACCCGGAGGAATAGCATACGGAGCTCAGATTGTTGGTCGAGCGAAGCTTTCCGACCCGACGCTCCGAGCGGAATATTCATGAGATGGCGGGTTGATCTCAAGCGCGTCTCCTCTATTAGAGAGTTATAGCGTGGAATTAATTCCAGACTCATAAGCCTCAACAACCTGGGTGGCTTCGATAGAAGACGTGTCCTCCAGAGTCAGTGGGCAAAGCCTCTGACCCTTCCCAATGAAAGAACTAGTGTCGCGTTCACCCAAGCCTTTCCGACTCTTCTTCTAATTCAATGACCAACGACAAGTCTCCGCTAACAAATTATGTATCGCGGTGCACTGAACTGACGCGTCTCATACTTGTGTTTTCTCATCCCGTTCCCTTCCGATGAGCGCAAAAGCAGAGCTCGAGCCCGGCTTCTTCTAATGAATCGATTGTGAATTGTAAGCGATGAGGTTCCAGCATGAGATGTGCGATGCGACGCCACATCGTTCGTGAAGCATCATCGATAGAATTTCCGATTCTCCCAACGAGCCCAGCCTCACGGGATCCGAATTCGGGGTCAATAGTCTTCCCGCCATCTCCGCATTCCTGATCCAAAAAACCCCGACTCTCCGTGTGGACTTGGATTCATGTTCCAATGCCCACCGAATTTCCTATCTGGAAAATTAGGCGAGAAGTAGGCAGGCGAAATAGCAAGACTCAGTGCACAAGTCACGGAGCGACAGACCGACAATGGAACATTTCTAACCAAACAAGAAACGAACCGGCTTGCCCGCGAGCATCTGACTGAGAGAGAAACACTGGCCAGTGCGGCGGCCGCGAAGGCACCAGGACTGTGTTGCTCTGTCTGTCGGTGGGTCGTGCTGTGGCGGAAGGGTGAACGACATCAAGAGCAAGCATGAAGCCGCGGCGGCAAGAACGACAACGGTGAAAGCGCTGCTGTTTCTCTGCTCTTTTGGAAGAAGTGACTCCTTATGAGTTGCTGACGGCGCGCACAATTCAATAAATGCTGCGTCGATCGCTTCTGAGCTCCCATTAACCTCGTCTAGGCGCTGCATGGGCGGAGGTGGCGACGGCGACGGCGAGGACGGAGCAGGGTTACAACCCTCCGTCGCTGACCAATATACATATCACTCGTCATCGGATAGGTGATGGGATGTCACAACGCAACGAGCGACAACGAGCCGCCGCGAACCGACCTGGGAACGGAAACGCGGCTCGTTCGGGAGCAGATGCCGAGTCGCATTTCGTCGCTGTTTTTCTTCTAGATGCCGATGATGATTTGGGTCCAAACAAGAAATCTGGTCCGTTTTTCGCTGCTCGGAACGATTAGGAAAGTTGCGTGACTCTGCGCTAACGCATAAGACCAGTGACAAGGCTGTGATCTCGGACCACGTTGAGGACAAGAGCTGAGAAGGTAAGAGAGATGCTCTCTGAGTCTGCGGCGCGCTCGGCTTGGCGCTCGCTCGGAAGGGGAGGCCCGATCTCGGAACCAACTACTCAGTAGCCGACCAGCAGTGAGCGAGATGAGTGGGCCCGCCAACGGGGCCTTGTGAGGACGGTCTCGAACAAGGATTACGCAACAACCCCCATTATTTCCCGCTAGTTCGTGAAGTGTGTTCCCGAGTGCTCCATATTCGTACCTGCATCGTCTCATCAATCAATCTGTTCAAGCGACGAGTGTAGTTCAGTGCCTAGTGCGAAGCCATGTCGACGTCCGCAACAGTGACTCTGACTCTAAAGAGCAAACCTAAGATTCAGGCTATTCAGACTCCACCTCGGTAAGGGAATTATGCCACAAGTTCCATTCCTCCGAGCATTCCATCCGGAGAAGGTCTAGAGTTGAAAGTTTTGATCGTAGCGACTCAGCCGCGAGCATCGGGCCGCGAGAGGGGAAACATCGTTCCGTCGAAGTCCCGTGAACTCGACGAGATCTCTCGGACCCCTGGGTACTTCCCGCAATTACGTCGATTCCCTGACGGAATCGGACCCTTTCCAAATATCACCCAACGGAGGCTTCCCGTCGGACCGCGCTACCCTGATATCATGAGCAATGAGGGAGAAGTGGACTCGCTTCACCCGCCGAGCTCCCAAGTACAATGAGACGCATACAGTGACAAGATGACGGAGCGGTGATGGGCGATAAAGCGCCCTCGTTATTCTTGAGCATCGAGCCGATAATCATTCTTAAAGTGGAGCCCGCGAACTTGTTCCCTGACCATCCGGGGAGATCCTGTCGGGTCGTTTAGTTTGGTGCTGGACCGGTTCTGTCTCCATAGTTTGCCTGGCTGGCTGCGTGCCGGTCTGGAAGCCCAGAGAGAAGAGGGGCCTTCGGTTAGCTAGCTAGCCGCCTTGCTAGCTAGCACCGCCATCCAGCCAAGCAAGCAACCAAGCAAGAAACTAGCCAGCCAGACAGACACACATCCCATCTCCACGGTTAGCGCTGCTGGCGGCGGGGACGAGCGCCCGGCAAAATAGGAAAAGAAAGCGAATGAAATATATGCACACCTAATCCCTAATGGTACAAAGGCGCTCTTCGCGAGAACACATAGAAATCTCTGAAACCGGAGTTTCAATTGTTCTGGCTCACTGGCTTCCATTGTTAGTTAGCTAGCCTCGCTGAGAGAGTCATTTGGAAGCCGTGACTTCTCCTACGGGGTCCGAGCTCTATTCAGCTGGAACTTTAATAGTCGGCTGTCCGTGAGTCGCTGGCGACAGCGACGATCGATCAATTCGTCTCTTCATTTTTCCGAGGCTTTTTGTTCCGGTCTGTGAGTGAAGGCGTCCCGGAATGAACAGTCTATTCCCTTATGTTTTCCCAAGGCTGTTCCGCCATACGGAAACTCAATGAATTGAGAGTGATGTCCGGCTGACCGCGTCGGCTTACCTGCTGCTTTCGCGCAGGCCGCTCGGTTGGCCGGCCAGCCAGCTCGCCAGCCGGCCGGCCGATCGGTCGCCTTCCTGGCTGCTCGATGAAGACGTTGACGGTGAGAATAATCTGAATAGAATCCAACCTTCGAACCGGGGAGATTCTCCTAAACAGCTGAATGTGCAAGACTGGAAGCTGACTTCGCGGCGCTTGCGAGCTCTCTACGAGGCTCGTAGAGACGGCGGAGGAATCATTAGAAGTGACATTGGGTCCGCGATGCTTCTCACAGATCAAGATATCAATTCGAGCTACTGCACGAAACAGGAGCGGTTCGTAGGGAACATTCTCCATTCGTTTGTTTTCTCGATCTATCCAGGGGGCACGGGTTCTGAGACGCGTTTTCGAGTGGATCCGTCCTCAATGCCTCCGCAATCGATCGATCGCGCCGCGGATGAGAGCTTCCGGGAAGCTCTTCGGAAGCTGACAATCCGGAGAGATCTGGTATTGGAAGCCATGGTGGGAACACGGCGTCGTATTCGATGGAATCCGAAAATCGCCGACATCGACCTTGTCGCTCCGCTTGGCGTATTCATGCCTCGTTGAGACATCAATCCGTCGCTCCCTGCGAACAGAATAGCCCCCTGAAGTGCGACGCAGAACGTCCGTCACTTGCTTCCAGTGGCTTTCTTCTGTGCAGTGTCCTTTGACGGCCGTTGACCACCTACGTGAGCCGTGGGTCTTCGGCGGGATCCGGACGATTTGGCGAGAGAATCTCCGTGGCGACGAGTTGCTCATTGTCGGATGTTCCAGAATTTCCAAATTACGTTGGTTGATTGCGTGGGGTCCGCGTGCATCTGTCGATCTCCCGGAGTAATTCCGAAGAGGAGTCGATACGGCGATGGCAGGAAGCGGCCCAAGCCCAGGTTTGTTGACCGGAGTGGTGAGCCCCCGGATCTCCGGCGAGGAGTGTTCCGGGTCGCTGCTGCTCCTTCATAATATTGCCGATCAACTCGGAGAAATCTTCATGCAGGAGAGGTTGGAGCTGAACAAGCACCTATCACTCGAAGGAACCTGGCGTCCTGTGTCCAATGATAGTTCTTGAGGTGAATACATAATTATTATTCGCCCTGAGAACCTTCCTGGACTCGGCCCGGAAAGACCTATTCTGCATCCCTCAGTCTTTCAACGACCCGAGACCGGAGTGAAGATTTGAAGGTCTCTCACGTCAGGTATTGATTGTTCTCTGTCAGAGACCCGGAACAATTTCGCACAGCGCGCATTTAGCCCTTGTCTCCCAAAGCGCTTGGTGTGGCTTCGAAGACGAGTTCCGATTTGTCACGGACGATGTAGTCCACGGCTCTAGATGAATTCGATTCTAGCTTCCTGTCAGCGAGTCATCGCTCAGCGACACAAATGCGACCCCTAAGACGGCTCTGACCCAATGCACACGTATGTGTTTTTCGTTAAAGCGATCCACGAATCATCGGTTTACGAGAAATGGTTTCACCCACGGGTGTAGAGAAACAAGCTCGACGCATCTACAAAAAAAACGACTTTCGAGCTCTAGTCTCGCCATGAGTCAAAGTTTCGCCGATGCGGCGTCATCAAGACTCCCGAAGAAGAGGAAATCTTCCTTACGCTCTAAGTCGCAAAAGCTTGACTCACACAACCGAACGAGAGTTGACCTATTTGAAAACTGTAGGCGTTTTCCTTGCCTATCGACGAGCTATGAAAATGTGCGAGGAATTCTCTGCGAGGGAACCCGATGATCGCAATGCCGGCGATCGACGCGGTCCCGGGAACATATTTATGATCACAGGATATCGTCCGGGATCACACGAACAATCGGAGGTTTCCCGCAGATGATCTCAGAGCCTCTCCGATTGGACGTGGGATGATGGGGTACCGGGCCGCGACCAAGATAATTCCACTAAGGCGCATGGAGAACAGTCGGTGATTTGAGGAATCGTCTGGAGACCCATCCCCAGTTTCGAATCACGGTCAGCTCGATGGAAGATGGTGTGAAGGCTTCTCGAGTCCAGATGCCGGGTGGATATGGGCCAGAATGCAGGGAAAAAGATATTGAGTAAACATCTGCGGCGTGACTCATGGGAGCAGGTTCGGGGAGGCTATCCGCTCAGAGATTACAAATCACAGCGATCTCGAACTGATAATGGACCTGGAATTGATTTATGGAAACCTCGTCATGTGATGAAAGGGTTTCGATTAATCAAGGGAACTCCGAAGCTCCGGCTCAAACGCCTTCTTCTCTCCACAGATCACCCGGTACAGCAGTGAAGTTGAAACTAACGAAAGCACCACCTCCTCAATCTCCGGGCTTACCGGCCCCGGTCCAGCCCTCTAGTTCAGCTACTCCGTCAAGTGGAGCGGAACGAAAATCTCCGCCCAAGAACGGGACAACGACACCAAAACTCGCTCGGAAACTCTCTGTGTCAAGGAAACCGGAACCTCCGGCTCAGAAGCCCGAGCCCGTGCCTCCAAAAAAGGTGTTTTCACGCTTCTCGCTCAAACGAAACAGCGTAGACAAGACCATGACCACAGCAAAACAGATCGAAGCCGAGCAGAAACCCGATCCTCCAGTCGATCCCTTAGCCGAGCCCCCTAAGGAGACAAGCGCCCCGAAAACAGCCTCGAACGCTGTCGCGGTAAACGGAGCCCTGACCAATGGCCACTCGGCGAACGATGCCACGGGAAACTCGGGGACGGATCGCGGGGAGGAGAAAGCAGACGTTAAGAAGGCAGATCACAACGTGGCGAGCACGCACATCGTTCCGGAGGCTTCTCTCCCAAAAGAGAAAAATCGAAACGAAGCTTTCAGTCAATCTTCGGAAGCAGGTCCAGTGGCTGACAAGTCTAATCCTGGGCTGATTCCCGAGAGTGGAATATCTACGAAGAAGAAAGTGATTAAGAGAACTCTTGTGAATAAGAAACCTCCGGAAATCGATGGGACCTCGAATGGAGTTCTCGCCGCGCCAAAAGAAATCGCACAATCGCCAAGCACAGAACCGATAGGCATAGCGCCTCCGGAGTCGATAGAACCGGAGAAGGAGTCGGGAAGTGATTCGGTTCCGAACCAAGAATCGAATCACGTGGGAAAACGCGCCGAGGGAGAAGTAGATGATGCACGTATAGAAAGCACAAGCGACCAAGCAGAGCCGCGAAACCATGTCTCGGATTCCACAGCCACTGACGATGCCGAGGAAACCTCCACAGCATCGACGCTCACCCCAGTACCCTCCGATGACTTTTCTTCAACTCAAGACTTATTGCCCAAACCGGAGCGTGTAACCACCGCTGATGTAAATAATACTGACACCAATCAACCGCTAGCAATCGGAAGCCCCCCTCAACCTGTACAAAGCCTCCTCCCTGAGCTCAAACACCAGACTGACGTGATTGGCAAACCTCCGAAACCCGCATCGGAGAAACGCGAAGACACCTCGTCGACTAGTAAGACGTCGAACACCAGTGGGAAACCTCTACAGAAACCTCTCAATCTAGCTCAGAAGATCCTTGAAGCAGCTCTCCAGGTGAGTCCCGATCAAATCTCTCTCTTTCTTCCCAGGCACCCTGACTCCCGGATCGGGGATTTAATTCCTGAACTGTGAAGTGTAGCATCGGAATGAATATTATTTACTCGTAGGGATGAATAATGTGAATTTCTTTCAGAAAACGTCTGCTTTGACTTCCGCTAGTCCCAAAGCTCCTCAGCCGCCGCTGGCGGCGACTTCCTCAAGTTCGGCTCACGGCTCAACTTGTTCCCTGGTCGAGATGGCCCATCCTTTTGCTCCCACGAACTCTCAACCCCCCTCGAGACCGTCCTCCGTCATGGCGAACATCCAGACCGTTGACATCAGGAACCTAGGTGAGTGATTCCGCAACGAGAGTGAACCATCTGAAGCGTCGGATCGGAGGGCGGAGGTGGGACAGCTCCCATTTTCAGAGGTGGCCAAGCTTTCTCTGCGTGAAATTCAGTGCGTGAAGCTTACTCCGGAAAGCTAAGCTTGTGGTATCCAAGTCCGTTGAGCTCCCTTCGAGAACTTCAATCGATGAGCTCCACCGCGAGAAGTGCACTTCGCAAACTCTCTCTATGAGGGAGATCGCTGCTCGACATATGTTACATTGACTTGGAGGGTTCCGATTCCGCTGCCCGACGATATTCCTGGTGTAGGATCTTACGATCAACGCTTCGAAATTGACTTAAGCGGGAAGGACACCGCTCAACCTCAAGCCTCCGCTGGGACTGATGAGGTTGCGTTCGATAAAAAGATACTTTTGCCTGATTAGTAGAACTCGTTCATCTCTTCTGGAGGGACGATGCAGCGGATGGAGGGGCAGAATTTATCACGTTTCGACCGCAACTCCTTGAGCTTCCCGTCAAGTTGTTCCTCAGAACTCGCCCAGTAACGAAGCAGCGAAAGACGGGCTAGAAGTGTCGCTCGGTTAGAAACAACGCAAAAACAGTCATATATCTTTCGGTGCCGGTCTGTTCTCGAAAAAGCCTTCTCTAAAGCGTAAACAGATTTCGATACAATTTCGAAATGGGTCAGCGAACCGAGGTCTGGGATGCTCGCTCGACGATTGCTAAGTCATAGCTTCAATGCATATGGGGGAACGACGGAGGGACAACAAGCTCGTTCTCGAGGTCGCTCCGGCAAACGCTGGCTACAGTTCAATAAGATTCGGCCGGCGTGGATTGCTCTCTGAGCCCTTCCCGAGAGGGAAACGACCTTCAGACTTTCTCGGGGCCGATTGTTCGACATGGTCCGACGGAGATCGGGATCGGTTGCTTTCGTTGGCTGGGTAGCTCGAGGCAGAGCACAAGCACACGACGGCTGGCTCACTCAGCATATTCTCCATCGTTTACATTCAGTGCTTGGAACGATGCACCGACAGATCGGTGATCTCTGACGCCGAGCTGCGCTCAATTCTTCTTCCTCAACTCGAAATAAGTCAACGTGTTTGCCTAGGGGCTTTTGTCTAAAGGAATCGGTCAGAGAGTTTTCGTCGAATAAATCGATCAACATCCACCGGAGGAGGCGTACCTTCAGAGGAAGCAGCGGTCGCGACGGAAGCACAGAGGGTCGACTTTGACATTATTGATCTTTCTTTGCTGATGCGGACTAAGCCCGCTGGAAGGGAAATCTCTGCTAGGTGAAACAATAATCGTGTCTCCGTCTTCGTGCGCTTCCGAATCTCGGTGTTCGGAATCTCCATCAATGTTCGAGAAGCTAGCGGGTAGTTCTTCTCGTGGCATTCCAGCCGTCCGGCACTACGAGGTCCACCCACGGAATCTATCTCGGCGGTTCAGGTCGCTGGAGAATACAGAGAAATGAGTATCGTTTTCCACGGAATCCTTGTCAATGGGGATAGCGCTTCGTCCTGAAGGCTGCAGAGACGCTCGTTTCCGCTGCGAGGCATTCCGAGTTCAGACGTCTGTCGAAATCCCACACGTTTGTCTAGGTAATTCCTAGAAACGTAAACACTCAAATTCAGCGCGTCCTTCTATTACAGGTCAATTGCTTCGGAGTCCGACACCACGACCTCTATCGGTTCTCGATGCTGAACGGCCAGATGAAGGTGATAACAAAGAAGGTGATCTCGTCGAATCCTCCTGTTTCCGCGGCAGCTTGTTTCCATATCCAGACAACGCCTCGTCATCAGGTGTCAGCTGTTCATTGAGCACGAACTCGCTGGCCACCACCCTAGCTCAATCTCGTTCTGTGTCTCCGGAATCCTTGATATCTCTATCGGTTTGTCAGAGTAATGTTTCGTCGCGGCACAACTCGAAGAAGGTCAGTGCGAATGAATCGAGTTCAAGCTAGAAATACGGGCTGGAATAAGTCCCAGGATCGTATTTCGCAAATGACAGAAAGCTCCAAGTTCTCAATAAGCGTGTATCAGTTCGGATATGCGATCGGCAGCCTTGGCTGTGGGTGCTACGCCAGGGTTCCCAGCGGTATCAGCACAAGACTCGCATCACACTCACGCGAACATGAACCACTTCGGTCATTGAATCAGCGTTCCGGCATATCAAAGGGTGATCTGGTTGTAGTACAATGTACCATCAACCCTTGGCGTGCTCTCACGCCCATTCGAACACTTGTCCATGGAATTGTGACACGGGAGAGAGATTCCGCCACCGTCTCATTTTTATTTCCAGGAAAACTTCAGATCCGAGTCATCTGAGATTCGGGGTGACCAACAAGCTGTTGATGCCCTGGAAAGAAGGCAGACGAGGTCAGTGATCCGAGAGCTATAGATCCCTCTCAAATCAGCTCCGACCTGAGCTATCGATTCGCAAATCAGCGGCGAATTGGCAGAGCCCGCGGTCGGCGATGATCCGGGCATCCTAGAAACTTCGATTACTTAGCTGACACTAATCTCGATTTTCAAGGTTGGAAAACGATCTTCGAGAAGCTCACACTTCCCTCTCTCGTGAGAGAGCGAACTTGGTGAAGCTGCAAGAGGTGAGCGTAGATGAATTCTCGATGCTCCTATGTATTGAGATCTGAATCTCGTTGAAGTGGCGTGCGCTCCAGAATTCGGAGGATGAAGAGTGCTATATTTGTCGCCGACGGGTCTCGATTCAACAAGTACAATTCCTAAGGAACTCAATCAAGCTCGATACGAGCGGAACGATGCGCAACAAAGACTCGATTCTGTCATCGCAGAATCGGTACGAAAAGAAAAACTCGTTCAGAAACTTCAACGCGAACTCCACAGTACTACCGATCATGAAAATTCCACAGAAGTTGAGGTACCTGGCCAAAACTCAGAGGATAGAAGCGCGAAAAAGTTCACGTTTCGAGAATACGCATTTCGTCTCATTTCCTTGGCGATAATAGAGCCCTTTCGAATCAGGTCGGCATGCTCAAGCGCGAGCAGGCGCGCCTCGAAACTCAGGTCTCGAGTCAGCAGGAGGACATACAGGATTTACAATCTCAATTGCAACTCCTCCGAGGGCAGAACAAACAAATGCAAGAGGAGATGACGAAACAGAGTGAACAGTATAAAAGTGAGCTGAAGTCTAGGGAAAGAGAACTCGAACAGGTAAATATTACGCTCTACTCCTCTCGAGGCTCGAGATGATCCGGAGAATCGGGATCCTATTCGCCTGATCGAGGGAATGAGTTCTAGGAACTAAAGAAAGCATTGATTATCCCACAGATCAAGAGCGCTGCGCACAACGAAGTGGCTCACTATCAGAATATGTTAAAAGAAACCCAGGAGCAGCGACGCGAGCTCCTGCGCAAGAACTCGGAACTGCAAGACAACAGATCAGAATTGATACAGCAGGTGAGACCGCAGAGGGAGTAAAGAACGAAGTATGGAATCGGGAACTCTGCGCGTGATCCACGCTGACTGAGTGCCCTTTTCGGGATACCGCGCTACTCCTCTGAGTGGATACCCGACTACGGAGTTTTCGGACATGAAGGACGCACGTTGTGATGGGGATGAAGAACTGAAACTCTCAATATTATCCTAGGTGAGGGAGGTGGGAGACCAAGCTGGCAACGAAAAGCGTTTGAAACGCTGCCTGTACAGAACGCTTGTGCTCCTGAGAGACGCAAGAGTCACGATAGAGCATATGAGAGCAACACAACCTAGCAGAACGCATCTAAGCAAGTTAGTTGGCTCCTTTCTACGATTTAAGCCGAAGTCAGTCTGGTCTAATGCCTTTGAAACTCCAGCGAACTACGGCCCTTATTTACGATCCATAGATTGAGGCAGAAAGCTGAAGAAGCGGATCAGCTGAAAGAGATCGCCGAGCGAACTAAGGAATCAGCAATAGCGCAGAGTGAGCAGCTGGAGCAGGCACTCGAACAGGTTTGGTTTTTTCGCATATTCTTGGATTCTTCGTGTCCCGGTCATGAAGTTTCGCCCCCCCCTTCCTCGCGGGATCGATGACTCGATGTTTCGGGCTCTCCGCAGATGGCACAAACCCGCAACTTCCTTCAGACTCGCGCGGAGAAACTCGCGAGCGATAATAAGCAGCTCCAGGGTCAGCTCGATGATCTGGTCGTAGAGCACAGTGAACTCGAAGATAGATATAAGAAACAAATCAGCGTAAATTGCAACGAACAGGTGCGCGATCCAGTTATTTCAAGGTTGACGGATTTCCGAGGGTGGAGCGAGCTGGAAACGAAATGGCAACATAGATGCATCAAGGTGTGCCTGAACAAATCCGTTTGAACATTCCAGGAGGCCCGGGAAGAACAAGCGAATAAAATCGTTAAGCTAGAGGCTCAAGTTGAAACTTTAGAATCAAGAATTCAACAGATGCGCTTCGAACGACAGGTCTGTTCTGGAGGTCGCAGAATTCATAACCTCATTAAGAGCCTGACTCCAGATGGGCGGCCGCCGACGCTGATTGGGGGCCCGTGAGGCTCTCCTGAATTCATATCCATCTTTTGACAGGTTGAAGACGATTGTAAAGTGAATTCCGTCTTGAACACATTCGAAACGAGAACCAATCAGCTGGAGTTGAAGCTCGAGACTGAGAAACTAGACAAGCACAAGCTTCAGGTATCTATGGGAGAGCGACACGGACAGTCCGAGGAATAGGAAGTTTGGCACGCCCAAGTAACGCCATTGGGTGTCATTCCAGACGCAATTCAACCGTTTATCGGATCAGTTGGAGAACATGAGGCGGGAACTCGACTCCGCTCAGAAGAGGGAGGCGAGCCTTCAAATCACCACAACAAATCAGCAGAGGTAATGTCCGAACACTGTACAGCGTTCTCTGCAGCTGATAGTGCTCACTCAGAGGAATTCTCGGACACTAGATTGGAGAATTAGAGAGTTGGAGACACAAAAATTCAAGCCCCTCCCATCCGCCTCAGGTGCTTGCTGGACATGCGCCGAGAGCTGGCAGATACCCGGGATCGCAATTGTCAGATGCGTATGGAGAGACAGACTCTGGTGAGTCGTTTTTCCGAGCTTTTCGAGCATCCGTTTTCGCCCCAACATAAATAGCAGAGGAAAAAATTCGGAAGGATCGCGAGCAGGAACTGAACTCGACATTTGTTCCCAGGACTCCCAGCTCGAGGAGCTCCTAGAAGAAGTTCGACATCTGCAAACGTGCTTACGCGTCGCAAACCAGCGCATCCGGGATCTAGAAATCGCGCTCGAAACAACTGATCCTATCCAGATCGAGAACATCATGTAAGTTCGGAACATTGGCACGGAGAGAACGGTTGATCGGGGATTGGGTAAAGTTCCGATACACGGCTGAAGTCCTTGTTTTTCTCCGAATCAAACAGGGAGAGCATAATTGAGGATTCCGCCAGTGACGACTACGAGGACGCCGACGAGAGCACGCAAGCGAAGTAGCATATCGCGCTCGGTGTATCGTCCCACTGTTTTTTCTCCTCTCACTGTAAAAATAGGCGATATATTTAGGGGAACGGAACGATGAGGAATAATTTAATAAAGCGAATTTCTGTTTACGACGCCGTCGTCATCAATGCAGAGGAAGGCGGACGGTCGAAACTCTTCCCTCTGCCTTATCATCAGATCCTGTCGATAAGGGGACCATCAAGGGAATCTTCTAGAGCGATGAGGATCAAGAACGGGACTGTGATCTTCCGAAGGAATTAGTTGGCTCCACTGAGCCTAACCGGTCTCATTTATTTTACTTAAATATGTATATTTAGAAATACGCTCTCTGAAATTCATACGATTCCCCACGAACAGGGCAATCGTGGTCCTAAAGGTTCATGGGTTCCGCGGGACCCCTGACCAATCGCTATGATACAGCTAGATACAATGTGACGTGGGAAATATTCAAAAACCTCTTGAACGGGACCGTCATTTGATGAACTGAGGGAAGAAACCTTAGCTGCAGATAAAATAGCTTATCATCGCTATAGCGATACGCAATTTTCCGATCGTTCATTACGTTCATCAGTCGTAGTCGCCTTTGATCATGAAATTCGTCTAAAGCAGAAAAAAATGATGTTGCATTTTGTGCGAATAAGCAGAACTCCGGGAAGTCCTGCTGGCCACTCATTTCCCCATCGAGAGCATTCCTTGTCTCCTCGCGCTCGTGCGACCCACGTTCCCAGGCTAGCGGGATATTCGCTCGCCCAGAACAATCAGTCTCTGGATAATCATTCGACCGATGTCGAATGAGTTCAGAGTCTTATGGCTTGCGAGGCGTGGACTGTTGGCGGTCAGCGATACTTCTTTGCTTCACTAGAAGATCGCCACGATTCTTCATGAAATGCAGATAGCGTTCGATGAGATCTCCCGAACCGAGGAAACTCGATAGGTGAACTCCGAAGGATGCCCATCGTTTCTCACAATTCGCCTCTAGGCGCCGCGCTTCCTCGAGCTCCAGCTCCATCTTCTCAAGTTTCTGAACGAGTTGAGCCTGCAATGCACGAACGTTCGAATTATATGCATCCGTCCGGATCGGCGCGCTGTCCCGTCATCTGGACCTATATCAGTCCTTCCTATCATGTCGCAGAACGACGCAGAGGAATTTTCTAGCGGAAAACTCACTTTGTAAGTTGCTGCGCCCTCTGCCGCTCCGTTGAGGTTCGCAGTAGTTCTACCGATTCGTAGCGAGAGGTTGACTACGAGAGCAGCTATATGATCAACTTCTGAGACGTAATTCGTGAATTTTCTCAATTCGTTCGTTTTTTTCAGCGCTTCTAATTTAGCTTTCAGCTCGCTCTCGAATAAGTTGTTTACACGAATTTCTTCTTTGACATCTGCCTCGTCCCTAGAGAGCTTGCTTTTGGGAGGATTGCCTTTAGGAACGGCTTGGTTGGGGTCGCTCTTCCTTTGCTGCGGCTGGAATACGGGAGTATGGACATTATTTGACTGCTCGCCGCCAGTGTATTCTCGGAAGATAGGCGAACATTGTTCTCAAAAGTCAAGAATCAGACGGAACGCGATTCAACAGACATCATCAGGGAGCTGGACGATGATCCCCGGAGACCTACCTTCAAAATGGACTTTTCCGAGTGATCCTTTGGTTCCGTGGTTGAGGCTTCGTCCTCGTCGTCGAGACAGGTTCCGTAGCCGTCATCAAATCTTCTACGCACCGACTGCGTGTCGCCATCTTGTTTCATGGGTCTCGCCGGGGTGGGTTTCCCACAGGTTTGTGGAGGTTTCACCGCATCCGGCTGGGGAAGTGCCGATGATGAAGTCTCCGTCGGACCACCGTTCCATGCTTGACACGGGGCAGAGTCGCGAGGAGTCTGCTCCTCACTGGGACTAGCCAACGGTATGTAGACCATCTTGGCCATGACTAAGGACGAATCATTGCTCCTCGTTCGTTGTCGAAGTTTCTCAGGTTTCTCTTTGATTGGAGGGGGAGTCGGGTAGAAGGTCTGTTTCAATTGCATGTTGAGCTTGAATGTTTTGGGGGGAGGTAGAGGCGGCTTTTTCTTCTCGTTCCTAGGCGGTTCGATCTGTTGAGAATCCTTCGGTCGACGGACCACCCCGTGGAGCAGCTCCGATGATTTGAACAATTTCGGAGGGAGCTCAGGGGGCACGCTACTGTCCTCTAGGAGTTTGACAGCCATGGGTTTTATAGGAGTAGGTTTTTCAGCCGATTCCGGTGGCTCGTTTCGAAACTGGGTCGGTTTGGCACCAACAGAGGCCTCTTGCCTCTGCCGCAAGTAGCTCAGGACAGCCTGTTTCTGAATTTGCTTGATGTCCTGCTCAGGGAGCTTCGCCCTCCTCGTCAGTGAATCCCGAGGACGCCCGATGTCTTCCGTTGAATCCACCGGGTCGTGCTGGAGACTAGACTTCTGAACGTCGACTTCCTCGATTTTCTCCCCGGGAATGTGACTGTTCACGCTGCTACTGCTCACAGTCGTACCTTTCGTATTATTGTTATTATTATTGCTGATGTTGATAGTACTGCTGCTCAGGTTCTTCATCTGGTTCTCGAAATATAATACACTTTCGCTACAATGTCGCTCCACCGAAGGAATTTTGGCACTGTGAGCGACGCCCTCTTTCGCTGGGAGCGGGTATCGAGACGTTACGCGTTCACCGAAGCCTCCCATCATCGTTGAGCCGTCGAGAGAAGACTGTGGAGAGACTCGACCCGTGTCAGCTACGGTCGACTGCCCGGATTCGAATCCGGAACTTTGGTTGGAGCTGCGGACGGAGAAAGCGCTCAAATCGGAATAGGAATCTCCCCATTTCAATTCAGATCCAACGGAATCGATGTATGTCGATGAGTCCGAGTTGTCCCCCGTCACACGATCGGCCACACCGTTTTGATTTGGCCATGCAGATTTGTCATCCTGATTCGCAAGAGGGTCACTGGCTGAGCGCAAGTGCCGCTCTTGTTGAGCTGAATCCGAGCCCCCGACTTCTTCGTAGATGTCTTCATAAGATTTACTCGGTGATGTCCTATCCGCTTCAGTCTTCTGCTTCTGCTGTCGAGAGAGCCACGAAGCAACCGTCTTCCGGTCGGAATTCATTGATTCGCTTTGTTTGAGAAGATCACACGATGAGCTGCAAAGGATATATAAATCTTGAATCATCCGCCGATGGAATCGGTCCATGCCCAGTGGAGAAATCAGTGATCAGGAATAGTATCCGGGGAATCCGATATTCCTCATCCTATTGAACTCACGTTTTAGCTCCCAGGTATTTAAGAGATTCCTTGGATTTAGATGATGCCAATGTGTCGTAGGTCACGCTAGCAGGGGAGAAGCGACGATGTGCGTTTTCGTGCTCCCCGACACATTTCGGGCCCGAAGGGGATGTTTGGATGGCGTTGTTCAAGCCAGGTGATGACAAAGATCCGAAGCCGGCACAAGATAGTCCACCGACGTACGATCCTGAGGGTAGGCTGAGAGGTTCCGAAACTGCCATTGGTGAGTCCCAAGAGGGCTGTGACCTCCTGTAAGCGGGAAGAAAGTCCATGGCATGAGTACAAGTTTAAAGCAGGAAAGAACTTCGCTGCTCCGATGCATGAGGAATCATTCGTCGTCGGAGACTCAACGCCCGATCTCGTTCATTGCTACAATCGTAACAAAGTGGAAACAAGGATCAAGCACACTCCCAATAAGCGCAGTCGATTCGCGGGGAGGTCTACAGTCTACTGAATGCCAGGAATTGTCATGAAAATTATCTAGTCGATGCTCATCGAGCTGCAGTAGGGTTTGTGCTCGAATAGTCGTTCCTATTGCGATCCAGAAGCTCGACATCAGGGGTCCGTCGATGGATCCACTCGCAGCGACCTGAGGATTCCGCCACCGATGCGAAATAGGAATATGCGCGATGAGAACCCCCGAGCTCTGGCAATTAACACAACAAGATAGAGCTCGAGAGCTGGCATTTGGATAGATACCTTGCGCGACCTATGGTTTTCCTGAGGGCTCGACCACACTTCACTTTGAAACGTTTCCATTCACTTTCGCGCTCAACTATGATACTGTAGGTGTGAGAGCCGCAAAACATCATCGGCGTGTCGTTGCATCAGCTGCGTCTAGCACTGCACATCTGAGCGGTGCGAAGAGAAATTCTGGCATGGGTTCATCGGATCACCCTCTCTACCACTAGATCTGAAGAAACATGCCTCGATCTGCCCTCTCGGAAATCCTCATCAGTTAATGAGTCGCACTTGAGCCATCTGCTATTCTTATGTGCGATCGGTTCGCTCCTCAGTAGTATTTCTCGGATCATGTGTTCATCATTGGGAGATTGACCGAAATGAAGCAGAAGCCGGGGAATTCCCCGAAAATCACCCTGGAGCCGGTGGACCCGCCAAGCGACGAACGAGTAGAGGCTCAGACATGCGAATCGATACGAGTGAGTCACACGATGTATTAGGTGGATTTCCAGCGGTCTTGAGCCGATGGAGCGCTTTGGACATCTGATGCCGACCAGAACAGACCGGATGCCACGACATCGTTGATAAGGAGCGTTGAGTCATACGATGGGAGGGCTCGGGAGCACACTGAACAAAATGAACAGTCTCGGCTTGAAGAACGCATGGCCGCGAGTACAAGTCTCCGAGGAGGAGCGTATCCTCCGCTGAGAAGCACTCGGAAATCTCGCGGTCACCGTGGAGGAGCTATTTCGGTAGACACAATTCAGCGACTTTCAAGTCACACCCGGACGGAATGCAATGATCGATGCTGTGCTACGGTTTTTTCTCCTTTTGCTTCCTCAGGTTGTACAACACAAATGTGTGTCATATATTTTCTGGACTGTTCGTTTGACTGTGCAAATAACTTCCCCGGTCCACACCCTGCACGTCATTACAATCGGCAAAATAAGATTTGCTCAGTTTTGATCGTGCGGCGGGCAGCTAGGGCCCAGCTACTGGCGACGCCGCGGGACGGGCGGGAGGGATCGATCCTGATGAAACAACGCACGGTTGCAGCGTCGCCTCTTTCAGTCTCAAGTCCGACAATACCGGAGGCAGAAAATCGAAGGAGTCAGTCTCGACGCTCCATGAAAGAGTTCAATGATAGTAATCACAATGTAACGACTTGAGACGGGGGAGAATGGAGCAATCCCATCGCTCCATTTCCATTTCCTCATTCCATACTCGCCCTCCTTGTTTTTAAGATGGGTTTTTCATCAGTTTTCAGCCGGCGCTGGGAACATCCAGGCCCGTGAACCATTTGTTAGCTTTGACAGTATCGATCAGAATCGGTAGATCCGATAGGACACGATAACAAAGGCGTAACGAATATCGAAGTTTAACGCGGCTCGAGCCGATGCGAGGAGGAAAGGAGAGCAATGAAAAATTCACTTCGGAAGGATGTCAACGATAATCGACACATTGGAACTTTCTCGACAGAGCCGTTCGCCACCACACAGGCGGCATTCCCTCCGAGCGAAGGCACGGAATAATTCGTTTTTTTTCTTGAAATTGTTCGCTTCACAGTGGCTTCAACAATTGCTATATCACAAATATTGGTAGCAAAAAAAAGAAGAAAAACCACGAACTCGCTTTGAACGGATTTGAGTAGCGGTCACGAAGTTGGGGGAACTGATGGACGAGATGAACTGAAAAAAGAGTCACATGCTACTCCGTCTGTGCCACCAATGGAGCAGGGCATCAGAAAGACACGAACTTTCCGAACCTCGTTTTCCCACTGCCCGCTGGGAACGTGAGGGACCGAGATTGCGTTTCTCTCGTCAGCTCGCACAATGTCAGCCTACATCTTCGTCCGATCTGCTCGCGATCCTTGAGCTTTGCGAGGACGCTCCCCAATATTTCCTATCGATGTCGCTGTCACTTTTCTTTCAAATATTCAAAAGGTCGTCCATACCGCAGAGGAACTCAGTCCCGGGAGGTGGCCGAAGCGGTCTAATTCCACGCGCTCCTAATTCAGCGACGGGACACCAATGCGGAAATATTGAGAAAGACTCTTGTCGAAGGGACTTCTGTAAAATCTGCGAGAAGCGAGACGAATTGTTGAAACGAAAACGCGAAGAATAAAGAATGACCGATCTGATATTGTCGACTGTCGAAGTGTGAGGGCGAATCCATTCTTGAACGGAGGAGAGGAATGGCAACAAGAAGCGATTTCGTGCCCTCTCGGAATCGACCGTTACGAAACAGCAAAAACAAGGGAACCAAAACGCGACCGGTGATGGAAATCGTTCCATCGAGCAGCATTGAATTCTTGCGAAAATACTACTTTAGGTTCCGAGTGGGACATGTGGATCTGATCGAGGTTCGGAATCCGGAAGAGATGAAGCGAGTTCGAGATTTGAGCCGCGGTCGAGTCGGACCGCATTGACGTCTCCCGAAGCTTTGACGGCCCGAGCAACGATTTTCGTTTCGAGCAATATATTGCAGTCTTCTCTTCGAGGATTTCCTCAGACCCACACTTACGATGTCTGTATGGAGCCTCTGTGAGAATGTTCATTCGTGCTCAGTACCTGGTGGGCCGTGAACGCCGCGCCGCGTCCCATGTAGTTCGAATAGCTCACGAGTCTAACTAAGCGCGAGCGAGGCTCTAGTCCTCGTTCGAAGGCGACTGTTTCCGCCAACACGTAAAAGTAGCCTATTCAAGTGAGGGACTTCAAGGAAAGTGATTCTTGAGAAAAACTTTCTCCGGAGACCGGCGTTGGAGCATAGGCGATCCCCGGGGCATTTCCCAAATTAGTTTCTCAAGGACGCGGCTATTCGTCGGAGCACGACACAAACGCCTTATTGACCCGCAGAACTCGAGCACCGAATCATATGGTCCAGGAATGCGACAATCGCCGTCGTCCGATGATCCCGCGTTTGGCAGATTGACTAGGGATGTGTCGCCGTCTCATTTATGAAATCATCCAGAGAAGGGAAAAAATGCCTGTGCGCCTATCGAGTGTGATCAGCGATCGGCACGCGACGCTTCCCCATGCGGAAGACACCCACCCACCTCAGACGGCAAGACACTTCGCGGACCAGAGTGGACGCGAGAAGAATTATACGAGCTCTTCAAGGATTTACGCAATATCGCTGGATTATGGATGAAGTAAATCAGTAAGAGCCAAAAGCGAGGTATCGACAATGGTGACAACAGCATCGGAAGCATAAACAACAAAAGCTTCGACGACGGTGGCGGCGACTACGACAACAAAGTGATCCATCGTTCGCTCGGTGTGCACAATGGGTGGTTGGCTGCCCAGTGCGGCCGGTGGATGACAGACTTTCATCGCAATGGCGGCGGCGACGACGACGACGCTGAGGCATTTCAGGGCGGCGAATCCCGTCCGGCTGGTCGTCCGGTCAGTGGAACACAGAGCACCCGATCAAAGATCTGTTCGTTTGCTTGCTCGACGGCGGTGGCGGCGGCGGTGACCATCCAAACGACCTGACGAGCGTCCACCGTACTTTGTCCGGTGTCGTCGTCGTGTTCGGTCCGTCCGTTCGTCTGTCAGCTGAGCAGTCAGGGCGGGTAGGCCGATGCCAACGTTTCTTGCTCCGGCACAATCTACGATTGGTGGTCCTTTGTTTCTCTTGTTCGTTTGTCGGTCCGACTGACTGACTGACTAGATGCTTGGTTGGGTGGCAGGCTGGTCGAATGGATCGGATTGTGTATTTACTCGCATCTTTTTCGTTGTTCAGCCGATCTTCGCCTCTTTGAGAACAATCAAACTAGAGCCAAGATGCTCCCGCGATACTCCTCGAGCGGCTGAAAGCATTTCTCGGCCAACCTCCCACAAGTCAAGCGTGCAACACTGACCGCAAACTTGGACTCGTCACATTTCCGCCAAGATTGCAGACCGATCCTTCTTCCTTCCCCCGCGGTTTCCCGACCTCAGAGCGGCTCTCCAACCCGGCGGAATGAGGAATTCATGAGATCCTCGTCGATTGAGAGAATGGCGACATACCATTTAAGTCATATTCTCATTGGTATGACATCCACTTGGTCAGCTGCGACGGTCAGAATTCCGTTTCGACGTGAAGTTCAGCGTCATTAGTGAGGGGAGTTCCCCTGGAAGATTGAGGAAGCTGGATGCAGCTCCTTTTCCGAAGTACGCTCAGGCACGCTTGGAAATATCGTTCCCCTTGTCTCAGCTGTCACTTCGGCGAGAACTGATCGCAGCCGCTCGACGATTCATTATTGCCATGGCCGTTCCGAATGCGAAGTGATATTTTGTTTCCGAATGCGTCGGCGACCGCGAAAATCTGCTCTGAAATTAGCGTTTTCGTTTTCTCAACCGCACCCTGTCTTTCCCCTCTCTTGATGGGAGTTTTCCGTCGCGGTGCTCGAGAAGCTGCTGATCTAGGAGCGAGCTTTATCACACGACGCACACTAAATGTTTTTCGTCGCCAAGTGACGCAACAAAAACGTCATTGGCGATAGCCGGTGACTCCTCGGGGAGGATTCCGAAGTTCGATGCTCTGCAAACCCATCCTGGAACGCGGCGAGTGAAAGTGCTCGACTG